TAGAAAATTTTTTCTGCAATATTAAGATATTGGATGAGAGAAGTATTTTTCTATGTATAATCGGAATCTAATTTTGGGATTTTTACGAAGATATTTCATCGGAATGAAAAAATTTTCAACGACATAATTTATTAAGAAGCACATGATAGAAACGCCCCGAACTATTTTGTTCACATCCCAGTTTTCTGTGCCCTGGAGTCATATTGGTGAAGGGTCTTTGAAAGTTATAGGGAGAGAGGCTGGACTGAATTCAATCCTATAACGCCCTGCTTTCATGTTCCTCCGTATAGCCTTTATGGCTGCCGCATTGACTATGGAGAATCGTGTTTCAGCTTTCAATTTTTATATTATATGTAAGAAGAACAAGTTTCAAAAAATGTTTTTTCAACGGAAAAAACTTTTCAGAAAGAAACTTTTTTTTAGAAAAGAAAAATGTTTTTTAAATTATCTAAAAAAGTATTGAAAAATAGTAGAAAAAATATTGAAATTAAATCGATCAGATAATTTTTATTCAGAAGTTTCTACAAATTTTTTTTTGAAATATTTTCTTCTGATGTAAAATGAAGAAATATTGCGGTTTAATTTTTAAATTTAGTTTGTGGAGAATAAGTTGCATCTTGTATTGACTTGAAATTAACATTTTTCATCTCTCGTTATCCAAATAATGAATGATCCTTAAACAAGACTTGATAGATGTTTAAAGTGAGCCCTTAATTGAATTCACACTCAGTCACTCGGTATCGTTTTACAAAACGGCAAGTCATTCAGCACTGATTTTCTCTTTCCTCGGCGCAACCCGGATATTACTTCCGATCACAAAATTTCTTCTCTGATCTAATTAAGCCATACAATTCACTAATTTGTTTAACAAGCCGATTTTATAACTGCCTGTATTTCAATTATTATACTCAAAAATTTCAAATCTATAAAATAATAAAAATATCCATGTAAAATATTTTAATTTTCTAATTTTTTAATTCTAAATATTCTAAGTATTCTAATATTAAATATTATACTATTTTATATTCTACATTAAATGGAATCTTAATTAAAAATTAAATATCGTCAAAAAACAGTCTCACGATCTTTTTTACGGTGTTTTTATCTTTATAGGAAAAAGACTATAATCATTCACAAAAATTCATTAAAAGAGGGAAAAAGGGGAACACGATTTTTTAAAAAATTTTTTGTTTTCATATTTCAACGGGATTTTAGGTAGTAGTGAAGTTTTTATCGTATATATTAACTGATGAGTTCCTCTGTACTCTAACACGGAACAAAAGTGTTACATTATTCATTTTTAATATCACCAAGTATTTCGTCCCGAAAGCATCGTGTCTAACATTGTTACCGCGCATCAAATAATATATACAGTAAAATATTATATCTCCAAAAAAAATTGATCTTTGAATTTTTTTCAAATCATTATTTTAAATTTTACTGTTTGATGAATTTTTAAAAACGTGATCTATCTATCTGCTCGTGATAGAACGTGATCTATCTCTAAATTAATAAATAAAAATTTAAAGCGTTCGAACCGAAGAATAAATTTTACATTTTGAATACAATTTGTATTCGCGTCATTCATCTGCATAGAAATTAAATTTTCCTCTCAAGTTCAAAAGATAAAAGTAAATAGAATGATAAATTATTAAAAATGGAGAACATAAACCATAAAATTGATTTTACAGTATTAATTAATAATGTTTGTAAACTTTTCTAAATAATTAATCGAATTTGCTTACTAAATTTTTATGGGAAAATTTTTTGAATTGAATGAATACATTCATTCAATTTTCCACAAAATTTACGGTAATTTGTACTTAAAATAATTCAAATTAACATAAATTGTTTAGTTTTTTTAGGAGTTCAAGTGAAATTTGAAAAGAAAATTTGAGAAACTCACTGAATAATCTGTATTTAAAATAATTCAATAATTAACAAAAATTATTTAGTTTTGTAGGAGTTCAAGAAAATCCTTCAAATTGACGAGATTCTGACACATAATCAATTTTCCACAAATTTTACGGACCAGATTTTTCACATTAAGTCAATTTTCCACAAATTTCAATTAAATCTGAATTTAAATATAAATTTATAATAATAAATTTAAAATAATTAAAATTAACAAAAAATTATTTAGTTTTGAAGCAGTTCAAGTGGACTTTTTAAAGAAAATTTGAGAATAGCATATACTCATCTAAATTGACCAGATTCTCACAATGAATGAATAAATTTTCCACAAATTTTAAGGAACAAATTCTCATATTCATTCAATTTTCCACAAATTTTAATGAAATCTGTATTTAAAAGAATTTAAATTAACAAAATTGTTTTAGTTTTCTAGGAATTCAATTAGACTTTTGGAGGATAATTTGAGAAAATCCTTGATATTGGCGTCACATAAGTTCAATTTTCTACAAATTTTACGGATCAGATTCTCACATTCAATCATTTTTCCACAAACTTTACTGCAAGTTGCACCTAAAATCATCAAAACAAGCCTAAAGATTTTAGATTTACAGGACTTCAAGTAAACTTTTTAAAGAAACCCACATAGCACCATAGTATGAGGTAAGGTTATGTTGAGTACTAATCGTAAGGCACATAAGGTTACACAATATTGCTGCGGTAGACCTGAGGTGAACTAAAAACTTCCGCCATGGAGGTAAGGTTACATGTTAGGGTGTGGTGAGTATATATGATAAGGCCATGGTAACCTTACACGTTAAGGTTAAGGTAACCTTACACGTTAAGGTTGAGGTAACGTTACATGTTAAGGTTGAGGTAAGGTTACATGTCAAGGTTGAGGTAAGGTAATTATTAAGTTGTAAGGTTGAGGTAAGGTTAAGGTAAGGTTGTGATAAATTTACCAGTTATGGAAAATATTGAAAAAATAATTAATAAATAAATATTCAATTAAAAAGTTAGTTTGTTGCTCTTCTCTATTTTGGAAACCTGACATGAAGCAGAAAATTTTGAAAACAAATTTGGGGGGAATGGGATTCGAACCCGGGATCGACGCGCATAAACCTATCATTCTAACTAACTGAGCTAAGTAGAGAACTGGCAGAAGGAAAATTAATGATGCCTTTAAGGTGAACCAAGAAGATGATTAACTCCTTAAAGGCAATATTAATTTTCCTTCTACCAGTTCTCTACTTAGCTCAGTTAGTTAGAATGATAGGTTTATGCGCGTCGATCCCGGGTTCAAATCCCAGTCCCCCCAAATTTGTTTTCAAAATTTTCTGCTTCATGTCAGGTTTCCAAAATAGAGAGGAGCAACAAACTAACTTTTTAATTGAATATTTATTTATTAATTATTTTTTCAATATTTTCCATAACTGGTAAATTTATCACAACCTTACCTTAACCTTACCTCAACCTTACAACTTAATAATTACCTTACCTCAACCTTGACATGTAACCTTACCTCAACCTTAACATGTAACGTTACCTCAACCTTAACGTGTAAGGTTACATCAACCTTAACGTGTAAGGTTACCTTAACCTTAACGTGTAAGGTTACCATGGCCTTATCATATATACTCACCACACCCTAACATGTAACCTTACCTCCATGGCGGAAGTTTTTAGTTCACCTCAGGTCTACCGCAGCAATATTGTGTAACCTTATGTGCCTTACGATTAGTACTCAACATAACCTTACCTCATACTATTGTGCTATGTGGGAAATTTGAAAAAGTCGTTAAAATTGACCAGATTCTCACACTGAATAAATTTTTCACAAATTTTACTAAGCAGATTCTGCATTTTATTTAATTGTCCACAAATGTAAAATAATTTTGAATTTAAAAGAATTTAAATTAACAAAAATTTTATTTACTTTTGTAGGAGTTCAAGTAGAATTTTTGAAAAAAATTTAGGACAATTATCTTAATTGTCAAGATTCTATAACATTCAATCATTTTTCCACAAATTTAAATGAAATCTGTATTTAAATTAATTGAAACTAACCAAAATTATTTACTTTTGTTGGAGTTCAAGTGGACTTTTTAAAGAAAATTTGAGAAGCTCCTTTAAAATGACCAGTTTTTCACAATCAATTTTCCACAAATTTAACGCACCACATTTTCACATTCATTCAATTGTCCACAAAGTTCGATAAAATCTATATTTAAAATAATTGAAATTAACAAAAATGATTTAGTTTTGTAATTAGAGTTCAAGTGGACTTTTTAAAGAAAATTTGAAAAAATCGTTTAAATTGAATAAAATTAAATAAAATTAAATAACATTTGTATTCGCGCTTTCCATCTAATATATGAAATTATACCTCTCAAGTTCAAGAGATAAAATAAATAGAATGATAGATAATTAAATAAATATGAACCTCAAAATTAAGACAATGAATTTAAATATAATATCATACATACCCTATGATTAAGACAATGAATATAAATTCTAAATTACATATATTACTTAAATATTATCATATTCTTAGACAATAAGAATATTTAGACCATTAGCCTCTACAGATCTTATGTGATAAAACATTCTAATTTTCAAATTTTTTCTCAGTATACTTATGAACGGTTTTTTAAACAACCGCTTTCATATAGAGAATTCATAATACAGAGAACGTAAAATTAAAAATATCCACTACTCTAATGACAGTTTTTATATTTCAAAACAATAAGAAAATAAAGGAAAGGATTTAAAAGGATGTAAATAATGTTTTAGAAATATAATTCAAATATAAAATACATAAGATAAAATAATTGTTTGTTTGTCCTATTCTCTACATTCTTACATTCTCTTACATTCAATAAAATTCATTCCATGGAAAATTATTATTTTCCTAAATTGAGTAAAATTAATCAAATCAATCAATTAATTTAATACACGCAGTGTGTCTATAATATAAAATATTAAAGTACATTTTTTGAAACGATGATTCTATTTATAATTTTCTTTTCTAAACTTTTTTTCAAATCTTCAGTCATAAAACATGTTTTTTTTCTCTTTAATATAAAAAATAGTAGTGGCACTTCTTTTAAACTTTTTTGTTTTTAGATATTTCTTCTTTTAGAGTAATTCTAAAAAGAAAGTACTTAATTAGTATTATTTTTTTATTAATATTTTTTTTTTGAGTCATTCCATTATGTTTCGACTAAAATTGTTGCCGACTAAAACTTTAAAATATATTATTTTTCAGGAATAATTTGAAACGTGTTGCGGCAAAGACTTAAAAGTAAAATTTAAATTTTAAAATATAATGAAATGACTATTATTTTTTTATTATTCTTATTTTTTTGTAAATTAATTAATCTTGTCTTGTAATTGTAAATAGTACTCACAGATCTTTTTTTTGTATAAACGGATAAACAGTGGGAGGGTGAAAGCCGTTGAATTTACTTGCACACGACGAGGTGTAAGCGCCCATATCATTCCAAAATAGCCAATCGCCAACTTCAAAATCAGGTAAAATTTCATTTTTTATTAGACAGTCGAGTGCATCACACGTTGGTCCCCATAGTGTCGAAAGGAACTTTTTATCACTCTTAGCCTGTAATTAAATATAATATATGTGACGCTCCATGAGAAAAAGGACCTTATTTACTCTTATCATAAGGTCCCTTTTCTCGTGGAGCGTCACATATAATTATTTAATTTAATTAAATATAATATAATTATTTTATTTAATTAAATATAATATAATTATTTAATTGAATTAAATATAATGTAATTATTTAATTAAATTAAATCATAATATAATTATTTAATTAAATTAAATATTCAGTTACATTATTGTTATTAATTTTCAAATTGAAAATAAACAAAAATTGAATTGAATTTCAGTATTTGTACTTACGCCATTGAGTGAAATTGGATGACGAGCTTTCATCATTAACAATTCTTCAATGAACGATCCAAATGTTCCATCGTTAATGTAATACATTTTCACTTCTTCATTATCGCGAATTACTGTCTTTTTCCCAAATAAATGAGCGACCGCCACAAAAGCAGCTGTTACGTAATATCTTCCTGGTTCGCTTATTATTTTTATTGATGGATCGATGTTCTTGATTGATTCGTTTATGACATTTGATATCTTTTCAATTGAAGAAAGAAACGATTTCAAGAAATTTTAAGCATTAAATTAGAAATTTTAATATTTATTTGTATTTCAATAAAATCTTCAAAAAAATGTCTATTTCATTTATAATTAAATAAAATTTTTCAAAATGGTTATTTCATTTATAAAATTTTACAAAAATAATTATTTTTAATCAAATTTAAATCACTTTTAAAAGTTTTAACATAATAGTATCACATTGGAACGAATTGATACAAAAAATATGGATCAAATCAAAAATTGATCCAAATTTTTGGCAGTAGTATGATCCACTTTAGTATAAATTTGATACTTTTAAGAAAACTGTGATTAAAATTTGAAAAAATTTAATTTGTATTTACTTCTAATAAAAAATTTTCGCCTTTCTCTGCGTGGTATAAAATTTTATATAAATATAGTTATACCTGATTTAAATCGTAATCACTTTCGCCAGGAAATCCACCGCCAATGTCAATTAAACAAACCTCGTGACAACCAAATGCTTTTGCTTGATCAATCAAATTTTTGGCAATTTTTATTCCCTCATTGTACGCTGTCAAATCGCCACAAGGACTACCAGTGTGAAAACTAAATCCATATAATGTTAAACCCAACGATTTGGTTAAACGAATCAATTCAATTGCCTCCTTTTTCGCATCACAGCCATACTTGACTCCCAAACTATTGCACGTAATTTTTGAATCACAACGAAAACGAATAATTATTCTACGGAAGAAACAAAAAAGAAATGAAAAATATAAAATTACAATGCAAACCAGCAACAATTCACGCTCTTTTTACTACCTTTTGAAAATAAAAATAGCAATTTTAAAAAGAATAGAATTCAAAAATTTTCTAATCTAAATTTTTGTTGAAAACACTAAAAAAAATAAAATTTCCCAAAGAGAATTCAATTATTTAAAAAAAAATTTTATTAAAATTGTATGCAAAGTTAATTATTTTCATAAATAATAAAAATTACTTAATAATAATATTATTTAAATATTTATAAATATAAAATTTTGTGTATAAAAATTTGTTTATTAAAATTAAATTTATAAATTAATATTAGATATAATTTTTAATGCATAAAATTATAAACTATAAAATTATAAATTATACAAATAATTATATTTTAAGGTCACTTTTTCAATAAAAAAATATTCTCCAAACTTTGTAAAACTTGTTTTCGCTTTTTTAGAAAGTTTAGAGAATATTTTTTTTTAAATTGTTCAAAATATTAAAAAATGCCTTTTAGAAAAATTGAACCCTAATCATATATTTAAACAGTATAAAAATATTTGTAAATAATTATATACAAAGTTAATTCTCTATGAGGAAGCAACAGATTAAAAAAATAAACAATAAATTTTGGTTTATTTGAAAACAAAAATATAATGGCTATATTTAAAAAAATTTACACTCACTTTGCTTCTGGAAATAAATCCTTTATCTTATAAATTTCATGTTCACAGTCAGCGGTTAATTTGTCAACACCAACTTCTCTTGCAAATTTAATTTGCGATGGGGCTTTCATTGGATTAGCAAAAATAATACGTTCGCCAGGCACATCATATTTCATAACATCAGATATTTCTTTCTGCAGAAATCCAGAAACATATATTTATTTATTAATAAAACTGTGAATTTTCTTAAATAAAAATAAATAATAAATAAAAAATAAAGAAAAATAAAGAAAAAATATCTAATATATTAATTATTTATTTAAATGAAAAAGTGGCAGAAAAATATTACTTTCGATGCACAATCAAAGTGTCCGTTCATTTTCGCCAAAATTTTTATCACTGTTGGATTAGGATTACACTTTACAGCTGAAAAAGAAAATTATTTTTGTAGTTTTAGAAATTTTTTTTATATTTCTTTCAAATTAGTAATAATTTTAATGCAAAAATCAAAATTTTAATGCAAAAATCACAATTTAAATGCAAAAAAAAAAATGTTAAAATAATTAAGTATATAATAAAAACATAATAAATAATATCATGCAAGAAATATTTTCTCTGGAATAACTAAAAATTTTATTATATTAGCGAAACACTGAGATGTTTCAGTTAAGACTTTTGCTTTTTTAGAAAAAACTGTCGCTATTCCAGGTAAAATATTTTTTCCGTGTAGAATTAAAATTGATGTTAAATTAATATTATTAAAAAATTAAAAAATATTATATTGATATTAACTTATTGATAAAAAATAGTTTGTAATTTATTTTATTTTTACCAAAGTAAGGCGTTACTCGGGGCATGTTTTCTTTCCAAAATTTTTGTCTTGAAACCACTTCGCCGACATTTAAAATATGAAAGGCATCTTCTTGATTTTTACTATTGATGATATCCCTAATAATATCTTTAGTATCGAGACCATCGTTGACAATTTTTATTTCACTATAATCAGAACTCGGCATCTTGTCTGTATAAAAAGAGAATGTAAATTATAGAAATTAATTTAAACACTTATTTTCAAAATTTATATTTTCAATTATTTGAAATTTCAATTATTTGTTTTTTGAAGCATCACTTTCATTTTATTACTTTTTTATTTTTAATTTCTATTTAGATATACTTTGCTATTTTTATTTAAATTTATTTTTCTTATTTAAATTTATTATTTTTACTTTTCAACTACAAATATGATAAAAAATAAAAACACTTTTTAATCACGATAAATTTTCCGATTTTCAATATTTAGTAAACGTAGTGAAAAATATTTGAACTTAAATCATCAAAATTCATGATCGGACTAATGATGTTTTGATAGTCGATAATAAGAAAGGTATTCAAGAAAAGTTTGTCAACTATACAATATTTATCCTCAAGGATAATAAATTATTTACCTTACACACTATATTTTTCATTCGCATATATAATTTTATCACAAAACTCAATTTTATCTCTCGAAATATTTATTAGTCATCATTGCACTGACCTACTCCAGAGGAAAAATGATAAATGAAAAAGAAAACAAGCTGTAAAATTTGAAATAAGTTTTCCAACTTCACTTTAAAAAAATAAATGTTGAATTTTTAATTAAAAATTGAAAAAAGTTTTAATATTAATAAAGTCTTTTTTTATTTATATATTGTTTATAAGCAAAAATCTTCTGTTCGGAAAATATGAGACATAATCCTCGACGCTCATAAAACGTATAAGAAATTATATCAACATTTAAAATCAGACGCGGAAAGAAATTATTACATTCGAGGAGAATATCTGCAAAGAAACTGATAATGTTATAGAACTAAAATATATTTTTTTTTTGTTGAAGGAAATAAACTTTTTGTTGTATTCAAGCAAAGAGAATTAAAATTTATTGTTTGTTATATTGCACCGCATTGTATTTTATACAAAAAGGAAAATTTAAGGCGAGAAAAAAAATGTGAGACATATTTTCCAAGACAATGTTGAAATAATGTTTTAAGATAAGAATTAAATATTTAATGTGTCTTTTCTGCGGATAAGGTAAAAAATTAATTAACTCTCGATTTTTTAAATTCCAACAGTAGTAGAGTTATAATTACTTTTTCCTGCGCACACGGAAAAAATATAAACTTTTACCATTTGTTTATTTTTTTGTACATTTATTTTACTATTAAAAAAAATATTTCTGGTTTGTTCCGCAATTTTCACCACATAGGTCTGAGTTAATTAATTTTTACTTTGCAAACGAATAATTTACTCTGTAAATTATATAAAAATTGTGATACTGATTCGAAAAAACTAGGAATTAAGTTTTAAAAATTAAAAAAAAACTTTAAGTAAAAAAAAGTAAAAAAAAACGATAATATAGTAAAAGTTTGATCGTTTTTTCATCGATGTGCATTTTTGGAACAGTTTTTTTAAAAAAAAAAAATTATGTTTTTTATAGAAAAAAAAGAAAATTCTTTGTTGGATTAACTTCCTGTTGAGCAAAACTTCATCCATCTCGTACAATGTACCGGATATTTCGTCGAACGAATCACCCCATCAGCGCAGCATTGGCGTTGATTTCCGCGGGGAGTGACGCGTCACGTTGAATGTTTTTCGAGGGATGATGCCAAAATTATACGTCCACCAAAAACCCTTTCTTTCAATTTTATTCCTTCTTCAATATGTTTAATAATATTTTTTAATATTATTAATTTTACAATTTAATTTAATATAATAATTATCTTTGCAGTTTTTTTTAAATTTTTATATAATTTTTATATAATTTTTAGATAAAGATATTTTTGCCCCTTTATATTAGATTTTATAAACAAAGCTTGCAAAACAGTGGTGGGATAAAATATATAAATAAAATTGTGTCTGTCCTTCAAAGTATAAAAAATCTTTTGGCAGGACAAAAATGAAATATGAAACTTGATTAAAATGACAAACAGAAGGAATGACATATTATCTTTATATAATTCAATATTTAGACATGTTTATTATTAAAACAAACAGTAAACATTCCGGTATAATTTTTTTCTCTCTATATTTAGCGGGTGATTTACAAAAAAAAAAATTTTTTTTACTGCTTCTTATTTCCAATGTTTTTTATTTATTTTTAGTACAAGAAAAAATTTGCGAAATCTTTTAATTCGTTTCAGTTACATAAGACTTTTGATTATTCAATTCCTTTTTTAACTTTCACATTCATTTTCACTTTTACTTGAACTTTATAACCAAAATTTTCAATTTTTTATTTATTTTGACAGTTTTTTCATTTTTCTCTCATTTTCACATTCATTTCTATATTAATTTCCAATTTCATTTCCACTTTCATTTTCACTTTCATTTACACTTACATTTTCACTTTAATTTTCACTTTCATTTTCACTTTCATTTTCACTTTCATTTTCATTTTTACTTTAATTTCCACTTTTAATTACACTTTCATTTTCTCATTCAGACATTTCGTCTTGACAGATATTCATTTCTACTTTGAATTTCGCTTTTATATTTGACAAACTTTTATATTTACTTTCATTTTAACTTTTGTAGATTTTTTTTAAATTATATTTTTCACTTTGAAAGTGTGATGACGAACGTCAAAATGTATAATATTCTAAATGTAAATTGTCAAAATAAAAAATTTTTTCAATAAAAATGAAAGTTTACAAAAAGAATTTTGTAAAAGTGAAAGTAAAAGTGGAAATAAAAGTGAATATCTATTATTAAAGTTTAAATAAAAGTAAAACTGGAAGCGAAAGTTAAAATTAGAATATATTTTTATAATATATTACGTGGAATTTATTTTTTTGTTTATGCTTATTATTATTTTTGACTTTATTGATATTATTATTATTTTACTATTATTACTTCTGGTATTTTTTTTGTTACAAGTTATTTTTTATGAATTTTTTAACACTTTTTAAATACTTTTTAGGTTCCTGTAAACGATAGAAACCCCTCGTCATTCTTTTAGTATTTTTATTGTTTTTTAGTATTTTTGATGTTCTTTTAGTTTTTTTCAGCATTTTTTTTTATTACTTTTAAGAATTTTTAAATAATTTTTTAGTAATTTTATTATTCGTTTAGTGTTTTACCATTCTTTCAGTATATTTTCATTATTTTTAAGTATTTTTGGTATTCTTTTAGTATTTTTAATATTTTTTAATATTTTTGGTGATCTTTTTGTATTCTTTAGCATTTCTTTAGTATTCTTTAAAAGTTTTAAATTATTTTTTAGTATTTTTAGTAATCTTTCAGTATTTTTTTTTCTTTCAGTATTTTTAATTTTTTTTTTTAGTATTTTTGTTATTCTTTTGGTATTTTAGCATTCTTTTCGTATTTTAAATATTTTTAGTATTTTTGGTATTATTTTAGTATATTCCAGAATTTTTAAATTATTTTTTAGTATTTTAGAAAAGCTTTTTGTAATTTTCAGCTTCTTTTGTATTCTTTGAAATTTTTAAATAATTTGTTAGTAATTTTATGTTTCGTTTGGTGTTTTAGCATTCTTTTAGTAAATTTTTAATATTTTTAGTATTTTAAAAATTTTTGTATTCTTTTGTATTCTTCATCATCTTTTTTAGTATTTTTAATATTTTTTAAAATATTTTTGATATTCTTTTGTAATTTTAGCATTCTTTTAGTATTTTTAATATTTTTTTAAGTACTTTTGGTATTCTTTTGGTATTTTTAATATTTTCAGTGTTTTTGGTATTATTTTAGTATATTTCAGAATTTTTAAATTATTTTTTAGTATTTTAGAAAAGCTTTTTGTAATTTTCAGCTTTTTTGTATTGTTTATATATAGAATTTTTAAATAATTTGTTAGTAATTTTATTATTCGTTTAGTGTTTGAGCATTATTTAGTATATTTTTAATATTTTTTAGTATTTTCAATAGTTTTTAGTATTTTTTTGGTATCCTTCTGGTATTTTAGCATTCTTTTAGTATTTTTAATATTTTTTTAGAAATTTTGGTATTCTTTTGGTATTTTAGCATTCTTTTCGTATTTTAAATATTTTTAGTATTTTTGGTATTATTTTAGTATATTCCAAAATTTTTAAATTATTTTTCAGTATTTTAGGAAAGCTTTTTGTAGTTTTTAGCTTTTTTGTATTTCTTACAATTTTTAGTATTTTTGGTATTCTTTTAGTATTTTTTTTTTAGTATTTTAGTAATCTTTTAGTATATTTAATATTTCTTAGTATTTTTGGTATTCTTCAACATTTTTTTTTAGTATTTTTTAGTATTTTTATTTATTTTTTAATATTTTTGGTATTTTAGCATTCTTTTAGTATTTTTAATATTTTTTAGTATTTTTGGTATTCTTTTAGTATTTTTTTTAGTATTTTAGTAATCTTTTAGTATATTGAATATTTTTTTAGTATTTTTGGTATTCTTCAGCATTTTTTTTAGTATTTTTTAGTACCTATTTTCAATATTTTTTAGTATTTTTATTTATTTTTTAATATTTTTGGTATTTTAGCATTCTTTTAGTATTTTTAATATTTTTTAGTATTTTTGGTATTCTTTCGGTATTTTAGCATTCTTTTGATATTTTTAATTTTTTTTTAGTATTTTTGGCATTCTTTTAACATTTTTAGCTTTCTTTTCGTATTTTATAATTATTTTAGTATTTTTTAGGATTCTTTTAATATTTTTGTCTATTTTTAGCATTCTTTTAGTATTTTAAGTATTCTCTTTGTATTTTTAGCATTCTTTTAATATTTTATAGTATTCTTTTAATATTATTATTATTATTATTACTAGTTTTCTGCATTATGATTTGTATCTGTTATCAAAAATTTTCAACTCTAACAATAATCGTCATGTCTGAGTGTCTTTTTTTTGTGTATATGTGTGTGTGTGTGTGTGTGTGTGTGTGGGGTGATTTTGCCCTGGCTGCAATATGAGATTCGAAGCGTTTCTAAAACCAAGTTGGTTATACAGTATACCCTTATAGTGTAAGGTACCCCTGGCGTGGAGCTAGCCAAGACACGAACGTGATTAATGATTGTACGGAGAGCCATGCACCGTATACCATTTCTACCTCCCCCCTCTTCTTTCTCTCTCTCTTCCCATACCACCCCATTTTACCATCATCCACTTTTCTCTTCACTCCGTTTTCCTCTTTCCCTCTTTCTATTTTGCCCCCTTTTTCCCCATCTCTTCTTCCATATAACTCCGCAAGCAAGTAGCGCGCTATACCTATACAACTAAACTGCGTATATAGAGAAACAACTGTCGGCAAAATCCGACTCGCCTACTGCTGCTTCTGCTGCTGCTGCTGCTGCTACTTTCAATGCACAGACAACTTCTTTCATTGTTGGAAAAATTCAAA